GCCAGGTCCAGTGGCTCACGCCTGTCGTCCCAGCACTTTGGGAGGCTGGGGGTGGGGGCGGATCACCCGAGGTCAGGAGTTCGAGACCAGCCTGGCCCACATGGTGAAACCCCGTCTCTACTAAAACTACAAAAAAATCAGCCGGGCGTGGTGGCAGGTGCCTGTAATCCCAGCTACTTGGGAAGCTGAGGCAGGAGAATCGCTTGTACCTGGGAGGCTGAGGTTGCAGTGAGCCGAGACTGTGCCACTGCACTCCAGCCTGGGCGACAAGAGCGAAACTCCGTCTCAAAAAAACCCCCCAAAACACAAAACACACACCTGAAAAACCAAAGCCCCCCAAAAATGAGGATGGTGGTTAGGCATGAGAAGTAATTGAGACGTCATAACATGTTCAAAACTTACAGCAGTTTTTTCGTTGTGTTTTAGATTCATGCTCAGAGACGCAAAAGCCTCCCCAAGCAAAGCCACCCAAATTCACTTTAAATTCCAGCCTGGCTCTCCTGTTGATGCTGCCTCTTCTCCTCCTGTCTTTATGGAGATTATGGAGGTAAGGACGACTCCTGCCAACCACCTTACACGCATTGCCGGAAGGTTCTGCTTCCAGAACATCTGTGGAATGGGAAGATCAATCACCTGATAGGGTCATGTCCCTGAGCCTCAGTTTCCACCAATGCCCACTTTTCTCATGGTGCATAACAAGAAATGTGGGAGGAGCTCCATACTGCAGGTGCAGAGAGACATAGAACAGTCATTGAGAAATATTCTTTTTGTTTTTTTTCTTTGAGATGGACTCTCACTCTGTCCCCCAGGCTGGAGTGCAGTGGTGACATCTTGGCTCACTGCAACCTCCCCCTCCTGGGTTCAAGCGATTCTCCTGCTTCAGCCTCCTGAGTAGCTGGGATTACAGGCATGGGCCACCACGCCCGGGTAATTTTATATTTTTGCTAGAGACAGGGTTTCACCATGTTGGGCAGGCTGGTCTCGAACTCCCAACCTCAAGTCATCCACCTGCCTCAGATTCTCAAAGTGCAGGGATTACAGGTGTGAGCCACCACGCCTGGCCCCTTTTTCCCTCCCTCCCTCCCTCCCTCCCTCCCTTCCTTCCTTCCTTCCTTCCTTCCTTTTTTTTTTCTTCTTTGCACAGAGTCTCCCTCTGTCGCCCAGGCTGGAGTGCAGTGGCTCAATCTCGACTCACTGCAACCTCAGCCTCCCGGGTTCAAGCGATCCTCCTGCCTCAGCCTCCCAAGTAGCTGGGATTACAGGCACCCACCACCATGCCTGGCTAACTTTATATTTTAGTAAAGATGGGGTTTCACCATGTTGGTCAGGCTGGTCTCGAACTCCTGAGCTCAAGTGATCTGCCTGCCTCGGCCTTCCAAAGTGCTGGGGTGACAGGTGTGAGCCACCTCGCCCAGGCCTGGTAGGATCTATTTGAGGACCCAGAGGTGGGGTCTCTGGGGGGGAGGAGGAGGAGGAGGAGGAGGAGGAGGAGGGGTCACATGTGTTGGGTTCTCATGGAGGGCCCCCTCTGCCTGCGTACTGGTCTCCGAGTGGCAGCCACAGGTGTCCTTGGCCTCTCCCTGGGGTCCCTGCCAGTGCTGCTTGGGGGCTGCAGTGCAGGTGACCACGCTCTCCGTCTCTGTTTCAGACTGAAGAAATGTCTCATGCCCAGCGTGCCAGACCCGAAATGCACCTTCCCTGGCCTCTTTGAGAAGCACGAAGGGAACTTCCAGGTACCTGCCCTCTCCCCATGCCTTCCCTTCTCTGCACCAAGCAGGTGCATCGGGCCACGCACATATATCTCCCTCTGACCCTTTCGGAGAATGACATTTAGGGCCGGGCGCGGTGGCTCGCGCCTGACATCCCAGCACTTTGGGAGGCCGAGGTAGGAGGATCATCTGAGGTCAGGAGTTCAAGACCAGCGTGGGCAGATGGCGAAACCCTGCTCTTTAAAAAAACAAAAAAAGAAAAGAAAATAACATTTAGGTTGCTACTGCATAGAAAGACTGACTATTCCATAGGTAGAGAAAGAAAGAAAGAGAGAGAGAGGGAGGAAGGAAGGAAGGAAGGAAGGAAGGGAGGGAGGGAGGGAGGGAGGGAGGGAGGGAGGGACAAGAAAAGGCTGGTCGCGGTGGCTCACACCTGTAATCCCAGCACTTTGGGAGGCTGAGGTGGGTGGATCACCTGAGGTCAGGAGTTCGAGACCAGACTGGCCCACATGGTGAAACCCCATCTCCATGACAAAAAACAAACAACAAACAAACAACAACAACAACAAAACGACATTTCATCGTTTTTTTTCTTTCCTTTTTTCCTTTACTTTCTTAATAAAGTTGTTTAGAAAGAAAGAAAAAAAAGGCCGGGTATGGTGGCTCACGCCTGTCATCCCAGCACTTTGGGAGGCTGAGGCAGGAGCATCACCTGAGGTCAGGAGTTCGAGACCAGCCTGGCCAAGATGGTGAAACCCCGTCTCTACTAAAACTACAAAAAATTAGCTGGGCATGGTGGCGCGTGCCTGTAATCCCAGCTACTCAGGAGGCTGAGGCAGGAGAATTGCCT